TTTTTTTTTTCTGTGCAAGGAACCCTTTGACGTTTGACGACCGCCGTTATGAATGCGTCACTTCACTTCTTTCTAAATTTTTTCATCAATAATCATTAACTCTCCAACAATTTTCACTATTAGTAATTAGCGCATTATTCCGCGAATTCGATAATGTATTTGTGTAGTTTGAAACATAAAAAATGCCAAAATAAACCCCTAACAAACGTGATATTACCGAGCGAAAGTGTGGCCCCATTCGGCGGCCACAGGCACAAACGTAAATCATTTTTGCGGCATATATACAGGTAAGGCGCTGTAGTGCTTATGATAATCATGGTCCTTGCATATTTTTCTTGATTGATGTTTTACATATATGAAATCTTGAAAGTGATTTTCCAGAGGAAAGCTTGCTAATTTCGAATGCATAAGGCTGGCTTTTGTTTTCCATCAGCTAGAGTACTGATATAACTTTCACAAAAAAGATCTGGATCCGACAAGGATTTTAGAATAGAAATTTGAAATGTTTCCGGCTCGCTGCAAAACCCTGATCTTGGACAAAACGGAAAGATCTACGTTTATTCTGGCAGCGATCGGCAACAATTTAGACGTGTAAAGTCTCAACAGTCTCTGCTTTGAGCTTCAACTTTTTTGGCCGGCAGTGGGCTGCATTATGACGCATTTTCAAAAATATCGAAAAAGGGTGGTACAGTGACGTATGCACGCGAAAAATCGCATGCGCCAATGGGTTCAGGTGAGCCTTAAAAATCACTTTTTGGAAGCTCTGTACACTGACCAATGACGTGCGGTACAATATGCCCTGTTAATTTGTATAGAGTGACTCGCTTTGGCTTGCGACGACTTGCTATCATGAGAAAAATTGAGTGTTCCAGTTCCGTGCCGCTGATTCCGCCACCAAACGAACACTCCAAACTGAATAAGTCACAAAACTGTAGTAGTGTCTTCGACTAGGGAAGTGTACACGTGTGTACCAGCAGTAGTCAAAGGGATACAAGAGCTCGGCACAGCGAGACCTTCCTGTTAGCTCCGCAATGTCATTGAACCAGTTGATAGTGACTGACCGCAGGTTCTTACAAACCCAAGATGATGGACTTGTCTTCGAACAGGAATACAAGCTGGTGCAACTAAATGATCGCGTTTGGAGGGAAATGAGGTTCATCATGGAAGGAACAAGAGCTGCTGAGCATGACGTAGGCTATTGATAAGAAACAACCTAAGAACTTGATAGTTGATGGGCAGGTCATGGTTTACAAGAATCAAGCGTAATAAACGCTGGAAATTCATATGTGAAAATGCAGTCATATCTGTTCATTTCATCAGATAGTGTAGTCTGTTCATTGTGTTCTTGTGTTTTTTCCCCTTAAACAACATTGGGTCTAATTGTTTACTGATCGTTGTTCCGTTGTTACAAATCCGAATGTCAAATCCAGTTCAAGTGAGTTTAGTGAATGTACCATCCGTTTGCGCAGAAGCGTTGTAGAGAGGTCATTAGGAAATCCTACCACAACATCGTCGTTTACCATGAAATTTAAAGGCAAATTCAGGCTCACGTTTGGGCATTATGGCGCCTGAAATTGAGTGTAGAGATGGGAGGTGGAACGACAGTGAAGAAAAAACGCAAAGAAACCCCAAGACCGAACTCGAAACCCCTTCCCTTCTAGCAGTGAAGGAGGCTTGCTCGGAGCAGGGCAAAACGAGTTTTCCGGATATGCCAGCCGTTCCATCGGTTGATACGGCAATCAACCTAGCTGATCTCACACGTTAGGCCAGCCACGCACCACATCCCGCGGTGGGCGGGACCAGCTGATGAAACGAACCCATCGCTGTAAGTAGTAGGCCAGAGGCCTTGACGGCGCGCAATCTCGAGCAGAGTCAACCCTGCGTTGCGCAGTTCGCAACGGCACGTTGAGAGATCCTCAACGCACGCTGTATGGGCGGAGACGCAGACGGCTCGAGCATGCGAGTGTGAATGTTCGCGCGAGAGAACGTGTCTAATCGGGCGAAACTGCGCAACGTGGCCGTTGAGAACTGCGCAACGCAGGGTTGACTCTGCCCCCGAGTGCACCGGAGTGTGCAATCAGGGTCAAGCGAGGCGTTGAGGAAAATTTGGAAATACACCCCCCCCCCCCCACCACCCTCCGCCGAGGCGAAGTTCATGAACAACCCTCTTACTTAATACTTACTTAGATACTTAGATACTTAGATGGCTCGTCTTCACTCCATGTGCGAGCCACCGCACAGATTCCATTCGTTTCGTCCTCTCGCTACCGTCATCCACGATACCTTTCTTCCTTGACGGCCACGAGTTTCCATAGCGGACTTCAGAACGTTAACGAACACGTCGGCCCATCTAATAGGTGGTCTCCCTAGAGGACGCTTGTGGTCTCTAGGGATCCACTCTATTGTCCTTCTCGTCCACCTGTCGTCAGTTCTCCTCATGATATGTCCGGCCCACCTGTGTTTTGCCTTGTAAGCGTATTCCACAGGATCTCTGAGTCGAGACATCACCCTCATATCTGAACTACGAAGTCCTGCTCGATGTTGTGAGCGCCTGTTGTATTTTAGAAGACACCTCTCTAACGCTCTGTGCGTTACTCGAAGCGTATTCGTGGTGGCATTCGTATCGGCCCACGTTTCTGCAGCGTAACAGAGCGCAGGAAGCACTGTTTGATCAAAGAGATGGGCTCGCAGGTCTACATCTGAAAGATGGTCAGTGGCCTCTCTGATAGACCCGAATGCAGACCAGCCCGCTCTCTTTCTCCTGTCCAGTTCCTCCTTGAGATCATTGTTCATGTTTATCGAGCGTCCTAGGTACACGTACGAATTGGTTTCCAGTATCTGCAAACCATTTATCGTCATGTGATGTTCTTCGCACCAGGAGTTCTTCATAAACTGTGTCTTCTTCCGATTGATTCGTAGTCCAATTCTACTTCCAGCTTCGTTAAGTTCGTTGAGCATCGTCTCTGCTTCAGTGATAGAATTCGAAAATAAGACGATGTCGTCTGCAAATCGAAGGTTGGATAGGAATTTTCCATCCACTCGTATGCCCCTCTCGTCCCAGTCGAGCGACTTCATGATCCACTGCAACGCCGCGGTAAACAGCTTCGGCGAGATAGTATCGCCCTGCCTGACGCCCTTCTCGATGGGGATGGTTAAAGGACGGTCAAACAGTTGTAGCGTCGTTGAGCAGTGTCTGTAACAGTCAGCTAAGATGTTAACATAGGATGACTCCACTCCTTGGTCGACCAGCGCTGACAGGATGGCGTTCGTTTCGACGCTGTCAAAGGCTTTCTCGTAGTCGACAAAGGTCAGAACGAGAGGCATATGGTATTCACGACAGACCTCTATTACTCTCACGACAGTCTGGATGTGGTCCATGCAGCTGAATCCCTTGCGGAACCCAGCTTGCTCTACTGGTTGCGCTTCATCCAGTGTACTCGAGATGCGCGTTAGAATGATCTTCGTAAAGAGCTTGTAGAGCACGCTCAACAAGCTGATTGGTCGGTAATTACGAAGATCTTCTCTGTCACCCTTCTTGAATAGAATGACAGTGCGCGAAGTTCTCCACTGGTCCGGAATCCTTCCCTTTCGAAGATAGGACGTCATATGGGCTGCCAAAATGGCATGAAGTGAGTGTTTCCCTGCTCTAAGGAAGTCGACCGAGATCTTATCGGGTCCGGGAGCAGTTCCCTTCTTCATGCTGTCGATGGCAACTCGGACTTCTGAGGTAAGGATCGTAGGTGGTCGGGGGGCAGTGGGGATAACAGGGTCTGGTACGGGTGTGGAGGAGCGGAATAGACTTGTGTAGAACGTTTCCGCTATAGATTCCATCTCCTTTCTAGAAGTAGTGAGGGTTCCGTCCTCTCTCAGGAGAGCAGAAAGTGGTACGCGATGATCGGTGAGGTCCCGCTTGCACTTCTTTATACTTGATCTTCCTTGTGCAGCTTCGAGGATTTTTCTTTGCCTGAACTGTCGTATGTCCTCCTGCAGCGCTATTCTGCAACTGGTGTCAGCAATCAGTCGCTCGAGGTGGGTTGCATTCGGATCAAGTCGCAGGCTCCTTCGCTTACTCAAGAGTTCTCTCGTTGACGTCGAGATGCGTTCGGAGCTCCTTCGCTGAGTAAGAGAAGCCGCATCAGCACAGGCTTGAAGTCCCTCGAGTAGCAATTCGTAATCCTTCGTTGGGTCCTCATCGATCCGCCACAAGTGTTGGGAAAGGCACTCGTTCAAGATGTTCTCATCGTACACGACCGATCTTCTTGTCTTCGGGCGGTGCAAGGCTCGTTTTTCAAGCCTGGTAGATAGACGAATTTTCGCCCGAAGAAGCCGATGATCAGATCCGGTACAGAAAGATGGCACTACAGCGACATCACAAAGGCACCGTCTCCTGTTCGTAATAATGTGATCGATCTCGGCACGTGTCGTGCCGTTGGGTGATTCCCATGTCCAGCGGCGATGTTCCTTCTTCTCGAACAAAGAGTTACCGTGGAAGAGACGAGTCGCGGACATGAGCCCAGCAAGCCGATTTCCGTTTTCGTTCCTTTCGCCAATCCCAAACTGGCCAATCCTGTCTTCTTTTTCTTCCACCTTACCGATCCTCGCATTGAAGTCTCCGACAATGAATTTATAGAAGGACTTCTCGGTGCGGATGACTTCCTCCAGCTGATCGTAGAATGCGTCTAATTCGGAATCATCAGCGCCCATGTGTGGTGAATAGCAGCTGATGATACAGATGGACTTTTGACGCCGCGGCTGAAGACGGAGGATGGCAAGGCGAGGAGAGAGGATTTCGTAGGAGTCAACGTGTTGGACGACAGATGGGTGAACGACGAACCCGACGCCACCGATGTTTCGCGATGGAAACTTCTCACCACGAATGACAAGAGTTCCATCGAAGAAATGTCGTATATCGGTCTTCTTACACTTCGTTTCCTGGAGCGCGATTACGTTGTACTTGATTCGACTCGCGGCATCAAGCAGGCAACGAAGGTCGGCATCACTGGAGACAGTTCTCGCGTTGTAAGTGCAAATTCTGAGGCAATCTCCATGTCGTGTTCTCGTGTCGTCTTCGTCCAGAGTCCATGACGTTCTACGCAACCCGAGATTGTGCAGCCTCTCGCCGGTCGTCGTACCGCCCAACGTCGGAGGCGGCAGAGCCCAGCGTGCGGGGTACTGAGGCTTTCTTCTTGCGGTTTGAGCTTGAAATTCTCCACTCTAGGATAGCGTAGCTAGCGCGTTCCTATACCTGCACCATAGGCGTCGCTTACCTTAAAGGTCAGAGGAGAGTCCACCTAGCGACAATCGCGATCGGGCCGGTGGTACCCGATAGGATATCCGATGTTCTTGATTGGACAAGGGTTTTTGAGGCGACCCTTAACCGCCTTTTTGCATTCCTATCATCGACTTTTGCAAGCTTTTGGGTAACCAGATACAAACCATCCGTAGCTGATCCTCACCGCAGGATACTTAGCCTACGACGCCTCACAGCCATTTCAGGAATGAACCAAGTTACCACTGCGGAGACAAGGAGTCCATCCCCTGAAACCACCTGCATCTCAAGGAACGCGCAGTCCGCTCTCGGCCTCCCTTCCGGAGCATGCTCCAGAGGTGAGTTGCCCGGGTGACCCCACGGGGAGGGGTCGGACATGTCACCCTATTCCGCATTTGCTCTCATAATTCTGCTCTATCCTACTCTCTCATTTTTGTGCATTCGTCATGCCTTGCTTAGCCTGAGCTTTTACATACAGTCTTGCGGACGTCGTCGAGCCCCTCATGCCGCGGCATACTATCTTACCATAACACATGCTCCCGCCTCGTGAGAAGCTCGACGGCGTCAGTCCGGTTGCTTGGTGCTTTTCGCCTCGGTCTGAGCGGTCATCAGTGAGACCGTCTGCGCAACGGTGGGAGTCATCACTGGAAGGTTAGCCCTCATCTGAGATTTCACCTGACTCCCGTCGGTGCTGGTTCTGTATATCTGGTATACTACGATTTGTATTTTTGGACGATTGTACGAAGGTATTCGAGAGGTATATAAATATCGTGGGTTTAGCTAATGAAGCTTTTTCTGTTCGAACCCGGTACTTTCCTCACTACCTTTTTTTCACGTGGCAGGTTACGGCAGGTTACTCGATAGCAAGTCTATTGTGTCGTGGGGTCTATCATTTATTCTATTGACAACACAAGAAAAACTGAACCGCCTACTTTGGCCATTGTAGAGTTCATTGGCCATTTTAACGTGCTTCAAAGGAACAGGAAAGCAGCGAACAAAAGGAGAAGAAAATGGGAAGAGAAGAGATATCAATACTTCGAGAGAGACTAGAGAAACCCAAGGAATATTCTAGAATGGATTTCCCTTCGGCCATCCATTAGCACATAACAAAAGTAAAAACAATAAAAATGACGCATAAAAACAATATAAAGCAGAACAAATAACGAAAGAAATACCAAATGCCGTTTTTCTTTTCATGCTCTCACATGTCTTAATACTATTAAACTATCCTCACTAACATACAATTAGTTACTAAGCCCTCTCTAAGAACCCAACATCTCGATCGCATTACATTGGAAGTTAGCAGCATTGCCCACCAGTAATGCACACTTTTACAGATTAACGACCAAAACGCAAGAGCTGGTGTCCGACTAACCCCGATGACAATAAACGAAGTTCTGGACGGCGTCCTCCGTGAATTGTATTTTTTCCATCACGCCATTCAAAAAATAAACGTAAGTATTCTCAGTGCTCCGAGAAAG